CAGCAAGTTTTTGTTTAAAGACAAACAGTTCATTTAGTCAACTAATGAAATAAACGTTTTACTTTATTTATGGTTGATTACAATGGATAAATGGAGTACACTTTTTTCATTTGATGGATCATCGAATTCATCCTTGGCTTGAATAAAAGAAATCATTTCAGGCTGGCCCATCAATTAGTAAGCATTCTCTTTAATTAATTCGAAAAGAATTTTCCGTTGGATTTCTCGATCATCTGCATTTATTTGTTCAATAATGGAGGAATTTAATGAAGAATTGAACGATTTTCAGCGCATGTCTAAGAGAAGTATGTGATGCATTTTTCAAATTCTCATGTCCGCTTAATTAAGTGCCGTTTTTTATTTTCAGTGAAAAGATATATGGGATCATCGCAATATTCAGAAGCTCTGCAAGGTATACAATCAAATCCAAGTGAAGTTCGGAAGTTGAATATTACAATGCGCAAAGAAATTAACGATCTCGATGAATCCCTCGAAAAACTGAAAAAATATGATTCTTCATCAAGAACATTTGTCTAATTATTTACCATCAAATATTAGAGAAATACTGTGTTTTTAATCCAGTTGGTGGGAAAATTCTGCTTAACACAATGGAAAGAAAACAGAAAAGTTGTTTGAACATCTCGATAAATTTGAAAAAGATTCGTTCGCATCCGGAAGTGAATGAATATGAAAATTCCAAATGGATAGTCATTTAAAAAGACGTCACTGCCAATTAAAATTGGCATTAAAACCAAATGAACTTGTGTAAATTTCAGTTCATTAAAACGGAATAAATGTCAGTTTTACAATAAACAATGACCATGTCTTGACATTAATTTTCCATTCATTTTTATTTTATCTTTAACTTTCTTTCGTTTGTTTTTTCGTCGAGGAAAATGATTTTGCACATTGCAGCGTATAAGGTGATTGTGTTCTTTATTTCATTAAAAAAATGGAATGCAACGATTGGAACAACTGTTCGGGTTTCGTTTATGGATGTTTCCATATTTGTTTCTTTGATTGATTGAAAACTGAATATCCCGTAGTGAAAAATCTACTAAAATTACGCAATTAAGTTATATATCGTATTAATGGCAGCTGTTTAAAATAAATAGCCAAGTTTAAGCCGAATGAACGATGTGACAATGATAACTTTCTGAGAAGAAGGCTTTGAGCATGAATATAGAAAATTACGTTAGTTTTCGTCGTTAATGTTTTTAACGAAGAGAATTTTACGAGTTCCATGAAGTTTTTTCCATATTCGTTGGAATCGGTTTGCGGGCGCGCACATCGCACGATTGTTCAGTTAAGTCAAGACAACATAATTTCAAAATACATATATGTATATCATATGTCATATGGTTTTGTCGCGCATAGCTAAAGATTTATGCTGATGAATGTGTGGTTAAATTGCAATTTGTATGTGTCAAAGTAGCAAAAATAATGGCAAACATCGTCAACTGAAAAAGGGAATCAACTTGTGAGTGACAACTGTGGTGCAACTTTGTGTGTATGAGTGTGTGCGATGATTTGTTGTGTGCCACTGAAAGAGAAAGAGAGGTAGAGCGAGAGAAAACGGCTTCATTCGTTTGGCATGTTGGTGATTTTCGAATGGAAAAGGCAAATGAATAAATAAATTCAATTAGTCTTTTCTCTTCTTCTCTTAGGATAAAAACAACCAAAGTGTCTTCAAATAGAGTTATTTTCCAAATCAAAACAAGTTCTGTTTTTTTATTGTAGCTAAGTAAAAATGTTGTCTGTTTGCAAACATTTTCATTGAAATTACATTTTGTGAAAGGCAAAATAGCAATAAAAATATGTTTTTTTTTTTTCATTTTTTGTTTTTTTATTCATCATTGCCAATAAGAAGAAACCATAAAAAGAAGAACACGCAAACTATATTATGCGAAAATCAATAAAATAGCGGAAATTATGAGAGCTAAAATGTATTTCTGTTATTGTTATTGTTGTTGTAATATTGAAAACAAATTATGCATTTTTACGGTCTCATCGCGCGCGCTCGATAAAAAAGATATAGTGGATAACAAATAGAAATTGGTTTTAGTCAGTTGCTGGTATGTCTTGCTTAGGTCTTTCCACGGCAATTAAATTGAATAATCAAAATTGCTCTATATACACGCTGTTTGGCACAATGCATCTGTTTGATGCGACTTTTAATTGAAAGTGGATAGCTTGTTATCTAATAAATTCTCGATTTATTTCGTTCTTATTTGTTGAGTGAGACACAGATCCGATTAAGACATTGAACGATTGGGATTAATTGTGCTCAGTTTATGGCAATCTTACTTAATTAAAACCAGTTAAGTCATATATATTCATTTTTTCCCATCATCTGATCGCGGCTTGATTAAAACGATTACATTGCTCACATATTTGCACTGTATCGAATCATCAAGTCCTATGCATTATGTAAATGCAGTTCAAGTTATTGCTGATGAAGGTTGCGATAAGTAATTTTTATTTATGGGTTATATTCACAACAATTACAATGAGAACAGGAAAACCCAAAGTGGTTTCCACTTAATAAAATACAAATTGAAAGTTGGCATCAAGTAGAAAATGCATCAAAGATTTGTGACCGAAAGAGTTTTTCACCGAATCGAAATTTCGATGAAAATTCAATTTTTCTGAATTCGCAGCAAATTTCACATTGAAAAGAGTGCAATTTCATTCAGTGTACAGAGTATTTCACATATTGATGTACTTAAGTGATCAAATGCCTAGATTAATCAATGTATGGTTCACTTCATTAGATGCACATTGATTTTTTTTTTCATATTCAATTTTACAGTAGTTGTTTTTGTGCAGTTCTTGTTTTTTCCTGCATAGATGATGACGGAATTTTTGATAGTTATTACTGCGATACACACAAACACATGGGATTTATTGTTACAGTACTCACCGTCTATTGAACCGTGAATTCGCCAACAACCAAACAATAAAATAAAAATTGCACTTTTAAAATTAAATAAACAAACACCAAACATGTTTTGATCAACCATCTTTTCTTTACTCAGCGAGTATTCTTTAACAAGTTAAAAACAAGAAATTTACCCGCATACACATATAGATAGACGCGGTTGTACGCGAATTGTCTTCAATGAATCGGTTCATATATTTACGATACGTGTGTATCATGTGAATGTGTGTGTTATTTAATTCATTGAAATGAACAAAAGCAACGACACGACGAAAACGTCAAAACCAATTCTAACTGGAATCTATGCAATCACGCGCGATGTGTAACTTTCGGTTCAGTGGATTCGCTTGCGGTACAAAACAACATACGCTGACATACACAACGTGTATTACACATAAGTCATTCATTGTGTATGTGTGTCTTATCACACAGTAGCCAGAGACTTTTCTTATTAATTACAAGTGTACTGATTTTTTACAAGAGAAACATTAGACATTTAAAAAATTTATTACCAAATAGAAATTCCATTAGGGAATTGACACCAAACATACTCGGATATAAAAAGGAAAATATGCCTGAAAACCATATGCCATTTGAATGAAAGAAATTACATTTTATTTTCTCACAAAATCATCGCACTGGTTCTATGTTTGCATTAAAATGTTTGCGAAATTGAAGCAAAAATGCTTATTTCTTGATAGCCAACTTCGGTGATCGGCTGAGAATTTCAACTATTTTCTGCTCTTCAATTAAGAAAGCACGGACGATACGTTCACGAACACATCCGTGGCATAATACGCCACCGTATGGGCAACAGTCTTTTGACGCTTCGAAATACGAGACCGTTCCATTGGTTGAGTTGGAACATTCTTGCGCTTCCTTCACATACTGATATACCAAACGGCCGCACGGCGTACGATCACTGGAATTTAAATAAAAGTTCAGTTTCGAATTAATTTAACATTTTGAATTATGAATCGTGTTGTTTTTCCGAAATTGCACTCTGAAATGGTTTATACATAATTGGTTCAATTAGATTCGTTTGTTAGTAAAATGTTAAAAACAAATACTGAGAAACGAACTTGAAATATTCGTTCGTTTCCCTTCGAATAGAGTTTAATTGATCTCGCATATATTCCTCCAGTCAAAAAACATTGACAAGCTTAAGACTGGTCAACTAAGTAATATGCTATTATTGAATTGAATTCATAATTGATGTTAGTATCAAGCAACCCTTTTTTCAGATTATATTCCAGTTTTGAAAAAGAACTCAATAAAGTCGACATTCATTTGGAAATAAGTCACCCAATTTGGCTATCGTTCCGAATTTTTCTTATAGACAAACGTCTGTTTCAATTTCAAATCATTTCACTAGTACAATTCGATTGGAAATGTTCACGATTCGATTGGATTTTAAGATATTTGATACTTATAAGTATACATAAACCATTTTGCACAATTCGTAGATTAAATGAAGTAGTGGTTGCTACTTACATTCTTCGTTTGTTTGAATTTGTGTTGTACGACAATCGTCGTCTTAGTGTCAATGTCTTGAAATAACAAGAAAATCTTTCATTTAAAAAAAAAAATAATATGTCGCACCGAACAATAAAAGGGTTAACAATCATTTGGTGCAAATAATTTTGGATTTTCATTTAAAATACTGTCGATGAAATAGAATAAAATTATTCATCAAAAAAATGAATACACATACCTGTATGACGTTCAGATTGTAAAAGGAAATGTCATCGGCTGAATGACAGCTCAAGCTCTCGCGGTCAGAAATGGTATTGTCAGATGTGCAAATATCACATCGGTTAACTGCTTTGAACTGCTCCGTTTTAATTTATTTTATGTTCAAAAAGAATACAACCAAAATGATAAAAACTCGCGGAGAAAGAATTTATTTATTGTTCCAATTTTTAATTTAAAAATATGAACCGTACAAAAAATTCCATATTTTGCGTTGTATTATTTCAAAGAATACATAAATCACATCCAAATAAATTATGAAATTTACTTTTTCATAGTCTGTGGTTAAAGAAAAAGTCGCAAAGAATGGCAAAAGCAAACGTAATATAATGTTATATAGGTATTGAATACGCTTAAAATTTATTTACAGAATAAGATGAAACCAATGTATATTTTCTTTTGTTCTTAATGTTGTGTCCATTGGATTGATTTAATATCAATGCCCTCTTGTGACATTTCCTGGGGGTGAATTAAAAAAGGAAAATGGAAAAATAATTAACATGTTATAGAACAAAATGAAAAAATTAATACCCAAAGCGGTGACATCTCACGCAAGCGTTGAACATGTTTAATACACTTATCAGCTATGTACTCGATCTCTTCCTTTGTTGTAAAACGGCCGATGCCAAATCTAAGGGAAAATCCATATTTTTTAGTAAGTTAAAAACTTCAAACATTTTCTGCCGACTAGTAGTTACCTAATTGAACTGTGTGCCAAATCTTCGTCAGCTCCGATTGCCCGTAGAACATACGATGGTTCAAGTGATGCAGATGTGCATGCAGATCCGCTGGACAATGCCACATCTTTTAAAGCCATTAGCAGTGATTCGCCTTCAACGAATGCAAATGACAGATTCACACAACCTGGATAAGTTTCATTCGGATCGCCATTTCGAATGACTTGTGGCAAAGCGACGTTAATTCTATCGATTAAGATTTTCGATAAATATTCCATCCATTCGTGGTCATAGCTCATCTCTTTGGCAGCAATTTCGCATGCAGCACCAATTCCAACGCACCTATCAAATCGACAAACATATGGATATGTTACGACTCCAAATCGGAAATAATTTCGACAGAAATACTTTTTGTTAACACTTACAACGGAGTTGGCACGGTTCCACTTCGTATTAATCATATTAAAGAAAAAAATTGAACAATAAAAATTGTTAAAAATTTAAAATTAATAAAAAAATCCATAATATTATACCTTCGCAGCCCACGCTCTTGACCACCACCACTTTGTAAGGCTTCAACACGAACTCGGGGTCTTCGGCGAACATATAAAGCACCAATTCCTTTTGGACCGTAAACTTTATGGCCCGATATTGACATCAAACTAATATGCGATTCGTTTACATTGATTGGAATTTTTCCCACCGCTTGAGCTGCATCGGTGTGGAAGAATACATTTTTTGATTTGCACAATTTACCGATTTCAGAAATGGGCTGCATTACACCGATTTCATTGTTGACGGTCATAATTGAAACGAGCGATGTGTCTGGCGTCATGGCCTTCTCCAATTCATCCATTTTAATTATACCTAGAAGGTTAATCAGAAAAGAAAAATGGAAATAATGGAAATAAATCAACAAGTAATGGAACAGATTGAAAAAAAATCGAAGGAATGGATCAGAATTGTAGAGTAATGGAATAGTAATTTTTTAAGTAAGTTAAACTAAATATACCATTCGACTGAACGGGTAAATATGTCACACGGAATCCTTCAGCTTCCAAAGCACGGCACGAATCCAATACACATTTATGCTCAGTTTGTGTTGTGATGACATGTTTCTTTTTTTCACCATAGAATCTATGAATGGGAATTTTTTCATTTTTTTTTTCTAACAACAACAGCACCACTTTTTTCATATCTCAATCATAACAGGAATGTGGAAAAAAACAATTATAAATCGCAAACCTTGCAACACCCTTCACGGCAATATTATTTGATTCCGTAGCGCCAGATGTAAAAATAATCTCTTTTGGATCCGCTCCAACCAAAGTAGCTACTTGTTCACGAGCCTTTTCAACTGCTTTTTCCGATTCCCAACCATATTGATGTGTGCGCGAATGTGGATTTCCATAAAAGCTGGTCAAATATGGTAGCATTGCATCCAACACTCTTGGATCCTATGTAAACGCAATATATTAATGAATAAACATACATTAACGTTTTGTACATTTTTTATGCAATAGCGTTTTTGACTATTGTCAATATTTTCATTTCGATAAGACTTACGAGTGGTGTGGTTGCTTGTGCGTCCAAATAAAGTGGTCGGCCATCGAGAATTTCATCACTGATTGCGAATTTGGATGGTTTTTCTGAAAATCACATTGAAACATATTGGTTAAAAAGAAAAATCCTAACCTATCCTTTTTGGCTGTGCATGGTTTTGGATGTGCATAATTACCATCGCTATAATAACGTGAAAATTGCGTAATTATTCGTGAATAACTTGTGATGTGATTTGTGTGGCAATTCCTAATGCCAAGGAATCGTGTAGAAATTCTCAGCATAATTGCGCGATAAATTTTACAATATTTCAGATAATCACTTTTAGTTACTGAACGACAATAATAAAATGAAAAACAAACACTCGGCTGTTGGCCAAAGTCTTATACACACTGATTAAACAACTACGCTGTTTGTCAATGGAAATGTGTGTTCACGAGTTCTGTGATCAAAACATTGACACATGTGAATGGATACGTTCAAGTCGCTATCATTCACATACACATATGAAGAAAACGAAAGAGTCTAACAAGAGAAATGTCATGAATTTCGCTTCGTTCGCTGTTATATGAATTCCCCTCATATTTACGTTTGTTCCGCCTCAATAATAATGCACTTTCTTTGAGTGCAAATCTACTTTTTTGTTTTTTGTTTTGTACGACGTGATAGAAGCATTTGCTAAAGCAACGCAATTCAATTATTACAAATGATATACACAACAAAGCAAAGTGAAATTTGATACGGAAGTGTAAAACTATAGCCTTTGGTGCGTATTTATTGTGTTTGTTTGTTCTGTATCAGTGATTCATGCTTCAACTAAATCATTCCATTTGAAAGTGAATGGAATACAGAACATTTTTGAGACGCGAAAAAGCAGTTTATCTGGTGCTATTCGTAATGTGAAAAAAAAATTTCATAACAAATTTTATGTGCTATGTGCTTGAAAAGTCAAAGTGTATACAATAAAAATTAGTGTAGTATTTATTCGCATTCTTTTACGATTAATATAATTCAATAATTCAAAGAGTGTAAGCAAAATGAGTGTAAGAGCAGCAATTTCCATTATTTCATTTACTTCCATTATTTATTGATTAATTTCCATTCTTTTCTATGTGATGAACTCTAGATAAGAGCAGCAATGACACGTCGGTCACTGAGTGCATCTGAAGCCATTGATGAAGTTGATAGTCCGGTAGATGGTCTAGAAGATGGTTCATTGTCAATAATTCCATCGCAAACAACAGGCAATGTAACAGGTAACACAAATTGCACTCGATCTCGCGCATGCATTCATTGCAATTGCAGTTCTTTTGCCACTCCAAATTTATTGATTTTAATGTTCTAACTCCGTAGATGTTTGGCGTCGAACGACATCAATTACGCGTCGTTCGCTACCCCAAGATGGTTCGGTTTTGGTGCGTTTTGAAATTCCATATGCACACATAATGCCACCGCCAAATGAAAGTTCACCAACCATAAAGAAGTATGTTATGTATGATTTAAGCGTACGTCAAGATTCAACAAAATCAACGGATCCAACACCAGTAACAATTGAACGACGTTACACGGACTTTTCGAATTTATACGAGGGACTGCGTGCCGAACATCCAACATTATTGAATCAAATTCCATTTCCCAAGAAAGTGTTTTTAGGAAATTTTTCCGCCACATTGATTGCCGAACGCTCGGCCGCTTTTGAAGCATTATTAGACCATATTATGAGCTTGAGCGATTTACGCGAATCATCATGTTTTTTACAATTTTTACGCGATACTGAATTGACTAAGGCATGTCGTTTGCTTGACGAACGTCGCAATGAAATGGCTATACCTATTCTAGAGGATTGTTTTCGTTTGTTGAACAAAATTTTTATGGATCGTTCCAAATCGGTACTATTGCTGTTGTGCCGTTTAGTAGCTGCATGTACAACATCACCTGTTCCACATCCATCAGCCGAAAAATGGGCTGAATTGGCACTAAGAAGATATGATGGAGTTTCAGATGCCGACTTATTAACACTGTACATTCCTCTAATTCACACTTGTGTACATTTGTGGTGGCAACGTGGACGGGACAATCAATTTCTTCAAGATCGACTCAAAGCATTAGAAAACAAAGGAATTCCGGTTAAAAATGGCAAAACACTTACACAAGCTATACATGCACTTGATCCACGCACCGAAACTGTTTAAGCTAACAACAGTTTTTTCTTTGCAATCTCCTTATTATTTATTAATGGTGTATTATTATTCTTTTTTTTCTTTTTTTTTTGTTATGTGACTGCCTTTGAACATATTCCGTACTATGTTTAATTTATGTTTGTTTTGCTTTATTCTTATGATTTATTTACAGCTTTTAATACTCGAATAAGAAGAAACAAACGTTATTACGTCGAAAATTATTTGAACAATCTTCATTCTCGCCTTTTTTTTGTTATTGACACGATAACTCTATTTTATATATATATTGTACACGTACCGCATCCATATTAAAAAAAAAAAAACAATCTAAGCATTTGTATACATATTCAAATTATATATGTATTGTTGTGATTCATATGTTAGAAGGTAATATAAATCGTTTTCGTTTATTTGAAGAATGACCTTGATAAGGTAAGGTTCAGCTCGTTCTTAGCATACAATATTATTTAAAATAATTTATTTTACAAGTGGATTGTTTATATGTCACGTCAACATTCCAAACGTATGATGATTTACTGCTCTTTTGTCAACGGATGCATCAGTTTTCCAATTATCCTATAATAATCGAAAAAAATTCCTATTTTTCTTAACAGTAAACCTCATAAAGTGAAATCTTGAAAAATATGACATTTTCAATGAAACATTTTTATTACTTCTAAAAAAGGGTAGAAAAGGGGTCCTTCCAATTTTTACGCTTTGAAAAATCATTAATTTGACGCACCTTAGATAAAATTCCATCTGATAACGAGTTATATTAATATAATGTTATATATTAGATCATTGAATTGAATTTAGGAGATTAATTTTGAACGGATTAGGAGATGATATCATCATATCGACGAAAAGTAAGTCTAAATACGTAGAAAAATTTGAGACTTATACTGCAAATTTAATGTTTTTTTTCTTGGTTTTGTTCATATTTTTACTAGAAGAACACAAACAAACGACTTTGGATATAGATAGTTTTTGAAGACGCCTATATATCTAGATCATTTCAAAACAATTAAAAATCTAGTAATATTTCAAGCTAATCATAATGTTTTCAATGATAAAGATTCAACTATTTCGATATGATCAAAGTTTCATTGATGATTTAAGACCATAACAACGTTTAGCAAAAAACGTAATGTGTGCGCTGTGCGTATTGTATAGACGCTATTGAAGCGCTCACGCACAGTAGCATTAATCCGAGCTAAATTTGCTATATCACTTGAATTATTGTTTCGACTTTAAACGCGTCTACATTCAAACGTACATAATTTGCCTTGAAATATATTTTACTGTTCATGGCACGTACGCGCATCAAAACGGATTGAATTGTTAATGGTGGTCTACCTCCAAATATATTATTATTATTATTTTTCGAGTTACTTCAGTCGTTGCATCGTAACAAATTGTTTGTATAAAAGCTAGTGTCCATTCTGAGGATGGTATCAGTTTTCGTTTATCGCTCAATTTAAGCAAAACATAGCCAATTTTATCAACATGTTCAAAGTTGTAAGTGAAGATTTGTAATAAATAATAAGCAGTGAACGCTTTAGTGATATTTTTAAATTAAACATATATTATTAAGCTATAGCCAAGACTCGTAGCGATACTGTACCATTTGTGGATCAATATAGCTTTATTCACTTGACATAATGTTAAACAATAGGTAGTAATTTTTTGTTAATTATTTTTCATGTCAGATCGCTTTCGTCTTCATGCTAATCGCTTGCGCTTGCGCCAAGCCAAAACCAGACGTGTTCGCTTACAGTGCTCCAGTTGTAGCTGGATATAGTGCACCGTTAGCCAGCAGTGTTTACAGCCGTGAGTTACATTCTTATTGAATAAAAAAAAACGAAATTTATTAGCTTATTTATTATTTTACGCCCATTGACAACAAAATCAATTTTTATTCCCATTACAGCATATGCCGCATATAGTGCCTATCCATACTATTCCGCTTATTCAGCCCCATACTATGCGTCTGCATACAGTGCTTATACATCACCACTTCTATTGTAACTCATTTAAATATGATTTGCAATAGCTCAGCTTGTTGATCAACCAAAATTTATACACACACACATGTACTTCTCTTCTGGCACAAATGGATTACAAATAGCTTTATATTCACTTTTCAAGCATTTTAATTTTGGGAACAATTTTTTTCTCTCTGATAACTGAAAATAAAAAAGTGTTTTATACGGATAAAAAATAATATCTTTCATTTGAAAAAAAAAAAAAGAATTTATTATTGTAACTTGATTGAGGTATAACAAAACAAATCAACGAATAATTACTAAATGATTATGCGGCTGTTGATTATTGTGTGGCTGATTATACGATGATGATTGATTTTGTTCGGCCAAATTTGGACTACCATAATTTGGTGGTGGTTCCAAAAATTGGCTTATATCCGATGAAAATTCACCAGGAAATATTCGATTTTGTTCCGGATAATAATCTGGCGATGATGATGGTTGTGGTGGTGTCAAGTCTGGATACGGTGGTAATTCACGTGGAAATCGAAGTGCAAACACATTCGGATATCGTGGATTTGGTCTATAAATCATATCCGGGTACAGTGCACGCATCAAATGGATAAAAGCGTTTGCATCAAAAGGTGGCAAATTTGGTGAGTAATTTGGTGGCAAATGCGGGTACTCATTGGGCCGATTTTCATGCGGATAATTTGGATGTGGATTGAATGGAATTGAACGTGGGTAATTCGGCGGTTGATAATCGGGACCAAATGTGGATGGTCGACCACCATTGAACCCATTAAAAAGACCCAAGAGTTCACGGGGCACATAAACTCGTAAGCCGAGAATCGGTGATTGCACTGAGACCAGGTTAGTGGGAGGTCCCGTTCGTTGCGGTCTATATCCATGCGGAAATGATGGTGGACGGAATGATGTAAATGGGAAGAATGTTGCCGCAGCAAACGGTAGCATTGAGAAAAGCAACAGAAGCTAAAAAATTCAAGAAAAAGGGGAGAAAAAGAACGTAACTTTTTAAACATACGAATCAAAACAAAAAAAAAAACGAAAGGAATGAAGAAGCTGCGAAATTACCACGAGAATACAAATTTTATACATATAATAGACGATTGAATAATAATGTATTTACAAAGACATTAAGATTGATTGATTTAGGTGTTTTGCTAATCAAAGAATGAGAAAAACAAAGAACTACGCAAAATATATTTATTTTCTCTGCTCACAGCTATACAATGGATTGTACAATAAGGTCGTGCTATGTTATGAATCATAATTAGATTTGTTGGGGAATTGCATATGAACGAAAATGTACCAACAAGTCTCAATCTGAAATACATGATATTATTGCAGCACATATTAATTACATTTCACGCTTATTTTGCGTAAACAATGACGGATTTCAATGGTACCCCGATTGAAAACAAAAGCGTATCAAATAAATAGTTATGAGAGAAAAAGTAATGAATAGATTTTCACTATCAAATTCTATCTTTGAACAAAGCCATCATTTATGCAGAGTACTAATGAAGATTGAAGAATGAAGATGATCAAATGGAATATTTTCATGTTTCTTATATGAAATCGTATGCATCGAAATATGAATTCCTTTTGAGAAAAGATATTCAAGAATCGACACAAGAGAACAAAAAATATTTTTATTTGGATTTCTTTAAAAATCTTACCATTTTTTGGCAGATATCCATCGCGTCGAAATTTTGATTCCAGATGAACACACTATTTTTATCTATGTTCTTGAACCACTTGAAACTATCACGCACTTCAAAAATCAATGGAAATTTAAAACATCTTTTAAATAACACTTTTAGTGTAAGTCGGATTCTTATAAGACCTTTCTGCTCAAAATCAAAATTGAAATAAAAGATTGCGAACCAATTCATTTTTCTTTTATAGGTAAAGCCGAATGTAAAACCATAAGACACTTCCTCCAATTCATGTACATGTACAATTTGTACATAATTCAAACAATAACAAAAAAATTAATAACAGTGGCATATTTTCTCGCGGTATTTAACATATTGAAACAAAATAATTGAGATAATAGCACTAGAAACGCATTATTGTTTTTGATTTTTACACAAGTGCAAAGTAAAATATGCTGAAATTCAAATGCTTCGGATTTAATTTCATGATTCAATTTTAAAATCTCAATTAAATCTCTTCAATATGCAATGCACTCATTTCAATTTGATTTCAGTTTTTCGAAATATGTACCATCTTCAGAATGATATAAATCAATCGAAATTTGCCTCGTCAGCGATTTTTTATAAAGTAATCTCTAAATGATTACAAAATAATACATTAAAAATTGAAAGCGAATTAATTTTTCAAAAATGTTTACTTATTAAACTGTAAAAGATATTCAAAAACAAAAATCCATTGTATTACTTACGGAAAAATGAAAAACCGTCATAAAATTTCAGAAAATTATCATAAAATTTCAGAAAAACGTCATAAATTTTCCGAAATTCGTCATAAAAATTACTAAAATCGTAATAAAATTAGATGAAAATCGTCATAAATTTTCAGAAAATCGTCATAAAATTTCAGAAAATCCGAATAAAAATTAATTGAAAATCGGAATAAAATTTCCTAAAATTGGAATAAAATTTCAGGAAAACGTCATAAAATTTGCGAAAATCAGTATAAAAAATATCCTGCCTGTAATTAATTGCATGTAACGCTTGATTGCCATCCAAGAGAGTGTTCCCAAAATTTTCCAAAAAATATAGCGGGGTAATTTGGTCTCTCAAAAATAAATTGATTTGAATTGAATTAGCTAAAAAATCCTAGCAAATCGAAAGAATTACGCTCATTGAAAATGGTTTATAATTAAATTGGTTTCGCTGAGTTTGGGCGAAGAAAAGTCTATAGATTGTCCTTTCAAATGTTCAATTAACGTGACCGATGGAACGAAGGAAAAATCTATGACATATCTAGGTGGAAACATACCAAAACATACTCTCCACCTATGCTGTCCTTATGGAGAAATTAAAGTAAATAGAGGGTCTGGCCCATGCATTGTGTGTAAAAAAGATGGAAAAGCTGGCAACGTTGAAATTGACATGTTTGATGAACAAAATAGGACATCAAGAGTAAAATTACATGAGCAATTTTCACTTAGAAATTATCACCATGAGTCGTACAATTTTTATCGTGCAGAATACATTCAGATATATAAGGTATATTATCGCCATTCCCAAGAATATGTTATGAGATTATAATATTCAAAATAAGGCACTGGCGTATTACAAGTGAATGTCATAATATTCAATATTAAATTCATTTTCAGGATGGTCGGGTTCTAAGCGAGAGCCGTAAATACCTTGAAGAATATTGTTTATACGAAATATACAATTCAACACAAATCTATGCACTCGTATTTCATAATAAGACACATAAAATGTGTTCTTTAGACACTAAAAAGACAGAAAGATATAATACGGATATAATATATGCAATTGGTAAGAAAATTGATTGAAATATTTACCTTCAACCATACATGCGCGACAAGAGCAAAAATACCCATCACTCTTACTAGCGCCATCCCATCGGTAGGATTATGCACTAACCATTCTTTGGCCTTTTTATACACAGCGCCTAAGAATGGTTAGTGCAACATCCTACCGATGGGATGGCGCTAGTAAGAGTGATGGATATTTTTGCTCTTGTGGCACATGTATGCCTTCAACTGTTTCAGCTAGATTTTGTTTTTTGATTTTTGGTCTTTTTTCGTCAATTTTTTTACCGCTATGTAGGATAGTGGTTTTGTTCACCAGTGAACAAAGTTCATTCATAAATATCAAATTCAACACATTTATAATACATTGCATTATTAATTGCTTACTTGCACTTTCGGCCCTTTATGTTCAAAATTTATTCAACATTAAAGCAGTATATTTAATATCTTCAAAACGAAAGCACCGTGTTTTATTTATCGAACGATTAATTAATTAATTATTATTCTTTATTTTGGATATCTATTTAAGTGATATTCATTTGGTCCTTCGAATCAACCGACCAAATGAATATCACTTAAATAGATATCCAAAATAAAGAATAATAATTAATTAATTAATCGTTCGATAAATAAAACACGGTGCTTTCGTTTTGAAGATATTAAATATACTGCTTTAATGTTGAATAAATTTTGAACATAAAGGGCCGAAAGTGCAAGTAAGCAATTAATAATGCAATGTATTATAAATGTGTTGAATTTGATATTTATGAATGAACTTTGTTCACTGGTGAACAGGTTTGTTCAATCAAAGCTGCGTTTCGAACTTATTTGAAAATTGAAGGTCAGCATATAGACTTTTCTTTTTTTTTCTATTTTGAAATGCATTCAAAATGAGCCCAAATTCTATATATAAATAACAAAGAGTGGCGCCCGACAGGCGTGAGCATCGTGAATAACGATTTTGCTTTGTGTCTAGAATAATGTCTATACAGTTGAAGGTTAAAAGTGCAATGTAATTATCGAAGTTAATTTTGACTTCCTTTAATCTTAATCATTTGTATTCATTTTTTGATCCAATAAGCAATGATAATATCGGTGCTGTTTATAGCGGCGACATTTTTGGTCTATTTGTTTGTTTCTGAACTGCGTAATTTACATGGAAAATGTCTGCTCTGCCATTTATTGGGTTTAATAATTGATTATGCCCTTTTGGTATCACTCAAATTCAATGGTTCGAATTATGTTAAACCATTGCTTTGCAGCTGCGTTGGTCGTACCATTTACTTTTCCTTTTTATCCGCATTCTTCTGGTCAAACGTTATGAGCTTTGATTTATATCAAAATTTACGGTAGGTTTGAACACAAATATTTAATCATAAAATGATATGATTTTTTAACGGAGTATAAAAATATTAAATCTTTTCAGATCGTCAAATAAGTTCCAACCGCAATTTTCCTATTATGTGGTTTATGCTTTTGGTTTACCATTATTTCTAACCTTGTTTACTTTGCAACTTGATAAGGTGAATCCATTGGGAATGCATGACAAATGGTTGCCGGGCATCGCAACGAAAATTTGTTTTTTTAAAAAAGGAAAAGGTACGAAACAATTTTTTTCCTTCCATTATACACAAATCTAACTAATCTTTTCCAGATGGAAAACTTGCACCATTTTTGTACTTCCACATGTTAATTTGCATTATATATGCCGTAGATCTTGTGCTATTTATTTTAACGGCAGTGAAAATTCACAAGGCGCAACGAGACATATTGAAACTTACGTCACAAGTTGAAAGTGCACGGCATCAAAGTAATTTGAATAATGAACGAGATAAGTAAGTGGAGAACTTTAATTCATTGGTGATTTCATTAATATATCAATTGATTGGTTGCAGTTGGATACGAAGCCTGATCATGCCCGTAGCTAACAACACCTCTAGTGCGTATTCCGAGTACTAATTGACGTTTGTGACAATATGGCCGTCACGGTTTGGCAAAATCATAATGAATCGATTAAACTGCGTTAAACTGTTAAAATAAAACAGTAGAAATAAATAGATTTTAATTTTTTACATTTTTGAAAATAAAAAATCTTTTGTTTTTTAATTTTGTGAGATTTTCTGTGACACAAAAGTGAGGTTATGTCAACCAATTCATTTTTATCAATTTATTATTTTTGAATATTGTGGACTATGCAGGGCTATGCACTAGAGGGTTAAATTGTGATTACTCGTATAATTCATTTAGATATAATTTACTTTATCCTAAGAGTGTCAGAAGTCAAACACTCACACTGACTACCAAATTATCCTATTTGGAATCAAACTCGTCTTCTTCTTCAGGCAAAACAAAGCACAGTTCTCGTATAAAAACAAATGACGGTGTACACGTCCATTTAACGTTAAAGATAAGCGTCACGTTATTTTTTGTTGAAAAATTGTTGTCGAATAAAAAACACACGATGTAAATAATATTTTAGGAGCGTGGCGGTTTAAAAACTCTGTTCGAACAAAAATCAGTTGATTTGAGTGCTGTTGAATTGACATATAGTCTATAGCGCTTACTCTTTTCTCGTTTAACCGAAAGTGTGGAAGAATGACAAAGGCAGCGTATGGCGTTGAATGATGTTTACAACAAGTAATGCAAACAGATTTGAATATATCTTTGTGTGCAAACTACTGTTCTTATTTCAAATTATATATTCGTTCAACGTTGACACTCTAACGCAGTAAGCGTCGTTCAACGTCATACGCTGTTTTTGTCATTCTTCCACAACTTTGGTTAAACGAGAAAAGAGCAAGCGCTATAGACTATACGTCAATGCAACAGCTTTAATATCAACTGATTTTTGTTCTAAAATAATTTTAAAGCCATCACGCTCCTAAAATATTATTTACAAAGTTTTTTTTTTATTCGACAATAATTTTTTAACAAAAAATAACGTAACGCTTTTCTTTAACGTTAAATGGACGTGTACACCGTCATTTGTTTTTATATGAGGTTGTTTAAGAAAATTATCTTCAAATAATGTATAAATTGAAATTACGCATAAATGTTGAGTAGTTTTATATTTAATGTGCAAAAAATTTCTTTTCTTGTCAAAGTATATACAAAATCAGTATGGATTAAGTCTAGGGGATAACCATCAATTGCAGATCGAATAATTTATAATAATAAACGCTATTTCTCTCTATTTTTCACTAATTCTGCTAGTATTTCTACTAGTTTGTTCTAATACTGCTAGTTTTTGCTAATTTTTCTAGTACGTCAAAAATATTGCATACGTCAGATTGACTGCATGATCGAATAACCGAAATGTGTTTACGTAAATGTTTCAAGTTGACACTTTCAACGTGTATATTTGAAGCAGGCATGTAATCTATTTATATTTATTGAAGTTTCAGTCCTTTGAATATTGAAATTATTATCTACATTACAACATCAGTGCTATCAAATCAAGTTTCGGGCTGTATATATTTTATTAAAATAATTTTTAAGTGTTTTTTTCTCTTGATTACACTCCACTTGCTTTGTGCTTCCAAGCCTGCTTCATTCATTTTATATTTTTCAATTGAATTAAAATTATTTAAATTCAAAATTGATTGATAAAATACTAAAACAGAAAAATTGAATATCGTGTGAGTGAGAATTATTGTTTGTCAAGTTTTACGTTTACAGAGACGTATACGTTTTCAGTAAGAAATCTGTCATCAAATCTACATTTCCGATTGCAATTCGTAAATTATAGTTAATACAGATGGAACGTGCTTGGTTAAGTGCCATTGAATATATTTTTATTTAAAAATGGGAAAAAGCGTATTTAACTACATATTTTGATACATTTTAGTTCAACACTATTCAATTCGTTTGTTTTGTGAATTTTATTTTAATTAATTATTGCAATAAATTCAAGAATAAATTCTTACTAAAGTATATACGTGTACAGTGCTAATTCTGCTATTTATTGCTAATTTCTCTATTTTCTTCATGTAAATTTCCCTATTTTTTTGCTAATGTGCTAATTCTAATTCGCATGGATATCCCCTAGGATTAAGTCCATGATAAATACATGCTAATTCTTAGTTTGAAAAAATATTTGGTAATAAATCGGTAAAATAATTCGATTACAAGTATCATAATAAAATGAAAAATAAAATCAGTACACAAGGGAAACAAAATGATTTAAACAAATTAGTAGCTGTATTAATTGAATGTTGGCATTTAAAGTAATTTAAAAAAAATCTCTGTTTAGCATTTGCATTTGTCTGTATTAGTTTCGGGTTGATCTACTTTGAAACCATGATGCTCTAATGATTGTAGTTCGAGTCGGGATCGATTCGATTGTGTCAAAATGTTTGCGATTTCTTGAAACATTTCATGAATACCTTCGCCGGTTTTACATGATATTTTATATGTGCCACTAATTAAGTTTTGACATTGTTCGATAAAGTCTTCAATATCAGCATCAGTGACCTGAAATCAAAAGAATAAAAAATAAAAATGGTCAATTGAATCGTTGAAAAATAGCACTAATATTTTTCAGACTAGGGGCAGAGCAGTGCTAGAATAATCATTTTTGTTTGAAGTAATTCTATGTTGTGAGTAGTAATCTATATTAATCCATAGTAATACACACTTACGTAAATTCTAACAGCAGTGCAATGACGTTTCATGTGTACGTTGTGTATGACATTTGCTAGGCATAAAGCGATCGCCGTATATTTCGGACGAGACATTTTATTGTTAAAAAATGGAAAATATCGAATTTAATTTAATAAATATCGATTAAATTGTTTCAATCCGCAATATACGACGATCGCTTTATTCCTAACAAATGTAATACACAACGTACACTAGGGTGGTCCAAAAACCAAAAGTGTTTAGTATCATCGATTTCAGCCCGGATTCATATATTTCGAGGGAAAATAATATGTTCTGCATTTAA